GGCCAGACCTCTTTCCAGGCACATCACTGTACAGACCTTGGGGCCCAACTGCCTGAGTTCAAATCCTGGCTTGTCATTTCTTTGTGGTGTGACCACAGGGAAGGGGGAAAAAAAAACCTTCTGGGCCTCAGTTTCCTTATATGTCAAAGAAACATAGTACAGCCACACCCCACTTAATGACCTACCCAGTTAACGACTGCTGGACTTCTCCAGTGTGGGGGGACCTTTTCCCCAGACTGTGAGGGTCTCAGGAATTCCCTTTTCGTCTTTTTCTCATTCCTGCAGTTGGTCAGTATTCACTACATGAAGCGTGTACAATCGCAGAAGACTACGTATTTCGTTTATACAACATGATGAATATATTTAGCATACGGCCATAGCAGCATGCAGAACAGAGAGGTTTAGTCGGACTTACACTGTGTGGTGGTGTGTCTCTTTCTGGCACTTACCTAATACATGCTTTTACATGGGTAGAATGACATTGTTCTAGCAGGGAGTCCCTTGGTATCTGTTGAAAAATGCATACCCGGGACGGGCATATGGCGTGGTGGTTAAGGCACTAGATACTCCCACATGGCTGACCACAGTTCGAGTCCTGGACCTGACAGCTTGCTTTCTCACCTTTCTGTGTCTCTCTCTGGTCAAATTAAAATAAATTAATGAAGAAGGGACCAGCAGTTAGTGTAATGGCTATGTCGCTGGACTCCCATGTAGCCGACCGCGGTTCACGTTCTGGATCTGGTGGCTTAAACTCACACCGGGCGTGTGTGCGTGCGTGTCTAAGATCCCGAGAGGAGAATGGAGGAGAAGGGTCTCTCTCTGATCAAATTAAAAAATAACAACATAAAATTAAATAAAAATAATTTGAAAAAAAGCAGGCACGATAAACAACACCGAGTGAGTCCCTTTTAATACTCAATCTGTCAAGCAGGCAGGAGCCTTCCTCACCTGCATGACTCCTGGTACTTGGAATTTGTTTGGGGCGTGCACATACGGTCTGCAAACAGGTCCAGGCAACAGGGCCAGACCTCTTTCCAGGCACATCACTGTACAGACCTTGGGGCCCAACTGCCTGAGTTCAAATCCTGGCTTGTCATTTCTTTGTGGTGTGACCACAGGGAAGGGGGAAAAAAAAACCTTCTGGGCCTCAGTTTCCTTATATGTCAAAGAAACATAGTACAGCCACACCCCACTTAATGACCTACCCAGTTAACGACTGCTGGACTTCTCCAGTGTGGGGGGACCTTTTCCCCAGACTGTGAGGGTCTCAGGAATTCCCTTTTCGTCTTTTTCTCATTCCTGCAGTTGGTCAGTATTCACTACATGAAGCGTGTACAATCGCAGAAGACTACGTATTTCGTTTATACAACATGATGAATATATTTAGCATACGGCCATAGCAGCATGCAGAACAGAGAGGTTTAGTCGGACTTACACTGTGTGGTGGTGTGTCTCTTTCTGGCACTTACCTAATACATGCTTTTACATGGGTAGAATGACATTGTTCTAGCAGGGAGTCCCTTGGTATCTGTTGAAAAATGCATACCCGGGACGGGCATATGGCGTGGTGGTTAAGGCACTAGATACTCCCACATGGCTGACCACAGTTCGAGTCCTGGACCTGACAGCTTGCTTTCTCACCTTTCTGTGTCTCTCTCTGGTCAAATTAAAATAAATTAATGAAGAAGGGACCAGCAGTTAGTGTAATGGCTATGTCGCTGGACTCCCATGTAGCCGACCGCGGTTCACGTTCTGGATCTGGTGGCTTAAACTCACACCGGGCGTGTGTGCGTGCGTGTCTAAGATCCCGAGAGGAGAATGGAGGAGAAGGGATTGCGGCATGACCATCCCCCCTGGGGGGTGATTTCTCGTTTTCTGTCTCTCTGTCTGTCTCTGTCTGTCTGGCGAGCGCACATGCCCTATAGCAAAAAGAAAAAAACACCTCTCCCCAAAAATTAATTAATTAAATTTTAAAAATCATTTTTTAAAAAGGGGAAAATGCCTACCCTATGGCACAATGACACACAAGACCCACCAGTTAGCAACCAGTTCACTTATGACCTAGTCACCGGAACAGGGCTGTAGGGTGACCAGTGACCAGTGCCTCCACATACTGGATAGATAGGGGAGCTCTGAGGATAAAGGAGATTAATAAATGTTAGAACAGTATGCAGACATCTGGCAATCCCTTAGATTTCAAAGAGGAATTCAGAGTATGCAGTTTCACAGACACTTTGCAAGCATGAATTAAGCAGTCTGTTAATTAAAATAATAGGTGAAGAATTCTCAACCAAGGCCCAGCCCGGTAGCTTGGAAGCCATGAGGCACGGCCGGTCTCTGCTGCCCCCTAGTGGGTCCCATCCTTAATGTTTAAACTGACTTCAGGAGAGGACAGGAAGGACTTCAGTGACTGCCTGATGAGGAGAGCTAGTGGGAGCTGTGCCTGCTTTCTAGACAGTCAGGGGGGTTCTGCTTCACCTGACAGGGCTCTGCTAAGCGAATACTTGCTGCTCTGTGATCACAGGCAAGTCCCTTCTCCCCTTGGCTCAGTCTAAACTAGCTTCCAGCACCCCCACTGAGGCAGGTGTAGGCCAACGTGCAGTGGGAGACAGAGGTGTGTGCAAACTCGACAGAGAACTGCACTTCCTCCTCCGCTCCCTGGCCTCCCCGGCCTCCACCGGACTACGCGGCCACCTCAGCGTCCCTGTTCTTCAGGACCATTCAAAGCAGGCCTCGGTTTCAAACACGGCATGGACACGGTGTATTTACAGCTCAGGGGTAGACGGAGGGTCGGTGGCCGAGAAACACTTAAGAAAAATGAGGGGTAAGGGGGATTGGGGTTCAACAGGCCCAACAGGATTCTTGCTGAAAGACAGGCCAGGTGGGAGATGAAAAATTTGGGGGGTGGCCCCACAACCCAGCAGTTCAGCCCTGTGCATAGGAGCCTGGTCCTGTGTGGTTGACAGCAGTTCAAATCTCAGCGCCAGGGGCTTGAAACACACCGGGCACGTGTGTGCACGCCTACTGCTGGCCCCTTCTAGTCAACTCTGCAGCCAGTGTGGACCGGATGGCCGTTCACTTTCACCCCATTGCTGAAAACCCATCAGGGCACTCCAAATCCCTCCAAGTCCCTGTATATCTCCAGCCCAGTCCTGGGCTGTTACCCAGCCTCCCCTCTGCTCCTAGCCTTAGGGCCTTTGCATGGCCTGCCTCCTTTGCCCTCAGGCGGGGCCTCTTGGCCTCTCATCCCAAGCAGGTAAGATTCCACCCACCCCACCCT